CCGCAGACGGCGGCGGAGTGTCCGGCCTAGACTCCTGCACGTCGACGAAGAAATCTGCATCATCGTGAGCCCCCTTCTTCTTGCCCTTCTTGCCCTTGGCAGAGGAGGGAGGAGGGGTAGGAGCAGGAGCTTCTTCTTCCTCCACGGCGTCGCCGGGCGCATCATCCTCCCCCTCCATCTGCCGAAGCAGAGCCTCTACATCTTCACTAAACACTGCTGAACCCTTCGCATCCTTCTTTCCCGCTTTCTTACCCTTCTTCTTACCCGCGAACTTCACCTCCTCCGCCGCCTCTTCCTCCGCCGCCAACTCCCTTTCCGCCTTCTCCTCTACATCAATGAAGAAGTCAGAGTCATCGTAAGCTCCTTTGCCGGCTTTCTTTCCCTTCTTGCCCTTCTTTTCCTTCTCCACCTCCCCCTTTTCCACCGCGGCCGCTTGCATTACCCAAGCATCATCGTCTTCATCCGCCGCTGCGCTTTTCTTTCCTCCCTTCTTCCCCTTCTTTTCCTTCTCCACCTCCCCCTTATCCACTGCTGCCGCCGGTTGAGACATCCAAGCATCATCGTCTTCGTCAGCTGCACCTTTCTTCCCCTTCTTCCCCTTCTTCTTACCACCGCCCGCACCTCCCACATCCGCCTCCTCCTCCTTCTCCTTCACCGTGTTATCCGTCTCCACAGGCTTTGCATCCCAGTCATCTTCATCTCCCCCTCCTTTGTCCTTCTTTCCCTTTTTCCCCTTCTTCTTGCCTGAAAATTTTACGTCTTCCACAACTTCTGAACTCCCATCATCCTCCCGCACTTCTACTACACCCTTGTCTTCCTCCCGCGCCATCTTCGCGTCCTGCTTCGTGCCCTTCTTCACACCCTTCTTCTTCCCCGTGAACTTTACCTCCTCCACTTCGAGTTCGTCTAGATCCATCTCTCATTAGGAAGGAAGACCACAACTTACTGCCCAGCCCCACGCGCTCCACCGCGTCTATGCCCGTCGGCTGACAATCAACCAACCAATCAATCAACCAACCAATTCAATCAACCAATCTACCAACAAATGAACCAATCAATTAATTACCACACTCTCCCACGTGTCAAACGATGAGAGCTTCCTGCAAACGAAATACCGCACTAACCGAGCAAACGAAAGTCACCCTACGCGCAGGTTGAGGAGGCGAACACCACTCCTCGCTCTGTCAAACCAGGTCACATTAGCAGGCAGCCAGAGGAGCTCCTTCCTTTCTCTGCCGCGCACACCTGCCTGTAGTCCTAGCACGGCTCCTCCTGATGATGGCTAAGGGTTCACCGTTCCGACCTTGAGGGCGTGCGATTTGGTTAACTCCCGCCGCGATGGGAGGGCCGCTGATCGAAGCCGCTCAAGGCGGAGACGGTCCCCCTGGACGGCAACAAGTATCCACGGAAAGCTCAAGGAACGGAGGCCGGTGTAGATCGCCGCTTTACAATTAGAATGGTTCAGAGGTGCCGACGTTCGACATTCCCCTGCCCCACCACCACTGTGTTCCTTTTCCACGATCCCACTGGTACTGTTCCTTCCTGGAACTCGACCCTGTCTCGGGACGCTGGCTTCCAGGCTGGTAGGCTCACGTGAGGGCGCTGACGCCGCTGACTAAAGCAAACTCAGGTCCAACGAGAGGCGATTCGCCGCGCTTCATGCGCCCTTGGATGACAGGGCAAACACAATTCCTGACGCGATTGCCCTTATGAATTAAAGGGCAATACAGCTGAAGACACTGCATTGCGGGACGGCCTCGGACCAGCCCTTGAGGGCCGAACGCAGGTTCTCGGCCCGTCCTGCTCCGAGTTCCGGCTGTCATTGTTGGACCTTTTTCCATGCCAGACCTTAGGCCTGGACCCCACAGGGAAAAACCGTGGAGAAAGCGGAGTGGAAAAGCTTATCTCGGACTCCATCGGGCCCTCTGGAAAGCCGATTTCAGGACTGCGGGGAGGTTTTCCGGGACGCCACAGCCTGGAAAACGGTATCTGGAAAAGCCACATTTTTTGTTTTCACATCGGTTTCCGGTCGGAAAAGTGGCAGTGGAGGAGTTTCCGCCCTATTTTTGTGCCCTTTCCAGAGAATTGGGGGGGGGGCAAGTCCATGGTTGGAAACTCCTCGCCAGCCCACCGGCCCATCCATTGTCCGCCCGAAGCCGTTCCCTGGTCCACTGGACAGGGCTACGGACATGTTGTTGCCGCCCAATAGGGGGGGAAATAGGCGCAAGGCCCTTCGAACGGACATCAGTGACCACCATCCAGTCCATCTCCAGTTTCCAGCCTTTCCAAGCTCATGGAAACTGGCTTTTCCAACCACTCCGATGGGCTCCCGTCATTCCGCAGGCAAACTCTTCCACGAAAACCCGAAACTCGTCACTTTTCCAACACTTTTCTGTGGGGGTCAGGCCTTAGGCTGCGGACTCTATCAACGTTGTTGCGCGCGACGGTCCCACACCCTAATGGGGAGCGCTGAACCTCACGGTCGTGTCACGCAGGATGTTTTGTTTGAAAATAATCAGTCACCACTCCGACCGTGCGCGCGTGCTATACCTCTCACGACGCCCTGCGACAGGTCGGGACGTCGCGAAGTACAACTTACCTCTACCCAAGGGGTTGCCACCACACTTAGGTAGGCGTATCCCTGCTGAGCTACCGACCCACATGTGAAGGTTCTTACATGCCTTTGTAGAGGTAGGTCGGCCGAGGGCGTTTTCTCGATCGTTGTAGCAAAAAACGGGGTACGCACGGTAAGACTCCTAGAACTGACCCGTTAGATATTCAGGTCGAACTTTTAGAAGGCCGTCTATTTCCGCTTCTGCTTCCAAAACATATTATTCTTCTAATCACTATGATCAAAGGATCAATCAAATTTTTTCACTACCAAGGACATTCTATTCTACTTAACGTATGACTGATCATCAAACATTATAAAAGTTATATAGGACTGATAATGATTATGAAAGTATTACCGCTGGGAACCCTTCTCACTTTCACAAGTGTTGTGTGTCCAAGACTTGTCAACAGACCAGGTTCAGTTCAATCCCAAACTCACGAACAAAACAGACCTACGCAAAATAATGCAAAGACAATCCACATGCCACGCACTAACGGCATCAACCATCAACCATTGACATTGTCCCTCACTCCTCAAACCATGTATGACAACTCTATCTTTCTTGAGATGTAAGCCCAACCCCCTCACATTTCTCCAAAGGACCCTTGAGAGTGACCATGATCATTTAGGCAGTGACCACAGGTGACAGTTTTACTGACCACAGGGTTTGACTTTAGACGTGGGTATCAAGTCAAGGGGGAAAAGTTGAATCA